CTCTCCTTCAAGTTGACGGCTTGCCACATGCATTGCATGTAGGGACAGTGAGTCTCCGCTGTTCTATCTCTCCTTCAAGTTGACGGCTTGCCACATGCATTGCATGTAGAGACAGTGAGTCTCCGCTGTACTCTTCTCCTTCAAGGTGACGGCTTGCCACATGCATTGCATGTAGAGACAGCGAGTCTCCGCTGTACTCTTCTCCTTCAAGGTGACGGCTTGCCACATGCATTGCATGTAGGGACAGTGAGTCTCCGCTGTTCTATCTCTCCTTCAAGTTGACGGCTTGCCACATGCATTGCATGTAGAGACAGTGAGTCTCCGCTGTACTCTTCTCCTTCAAGGTGACGGCTTGCCACATGCATTGCATGTAGGGACAGTGAGTCTCCGCTGTACTCTTCTCCTTCAAGGTGACAGCTTGCCACATGCACTGCATGTAGAGACAGTGAGTCTCAGCTGTTCTCTCTCTCCTTCAAGTTGATGGCCCAAACCAACAGATTTTGCAGCTCTTCCTAGATGGCCTAGGACCAGACTGGTTCTGAGGCTCACCCCAGATGACCTGGATCAGGCCAACCGGGTACACCAGCCAGTGCTTCAGCCAGCTGTGCCTGAGTTGTCCTTCCGCCACAGAATACCAATAATCAACTTGACAGCATGCACCCAATCCTGAGGAATGGTTAGGGAACATGATGCTGATTAATAAAGTGTATGAATAAACGTACAGTTATTGGCGCAAATAGCCTGAGTTGCTGAAAGCGCCATTTAAACAAAACAACACCACCTCTTTTTGATGTTTTCCGGGACGACAAATCGGACGCACGGTACCATCAATGAATCCCCAGACGGAGGTTAGTGGACTTCCACGCTCGTGGATGGCATGGGCAAAGTCTTCCAAAGAACTAGACAGCCAGGGTTGATGCAGATAACTGATAATTTTTCTCCAGCATCTTCCCATATTATGTCTTGAACAGTGTTGATTATTATTGATAGCTCTTCAGGAGAGCAGCCAAACAGCCTGCTAAGATCTAACAATCTGCATTGTAGCGCAATCAACACATACGCCATCTTAATTAGTAACACAGATGATTATGGACAAAACAGAGGCTATTCATGTTCCTTAAGTTGGCCTGAAGTTTTCTGTTTCCATATCGATTATCTTGCTTTGTATGTGCACATCATTAAAAGCTAGGCTAATTGAATTACATTACTCTATCTTTTTGTAAAAAGATTAAAATTAAAATGTATATTCAACTAACCTGTTTGGATGTATACGCCAATGTTCTCAGCAAGAAGAACTGGGAATCTTGGCCAGACACTTTGGACTTATTGTAACACGTGATTTCAGGAGGGATTCCCAGTAGAGTATCTACCTGTTTAACTTGGTCATAGGTAAATCTGAACAGTCTTAGACATTCACTATCTGTCAGGATGCTCATGTCAAGCCTTGTGCAAAGAACTCTTGGCACTTTCACTTTTAGAGCATGCTCCAACAAAATCATCATCATCGACATTAGTATAGTATATTAGGGTAATCTCTTCAACATTTGCTGTCAAAGTTGAACATGTGGACTATGCAGACGTACGAAAACTTTGCAACTTAAACTCTTTTCCGCGCACTTGAACGACAACACTACTGACAGAATCTTCCAGTACGTGTTGCCGTACACGTTCTTGGAAAACGCGTAACTTAACCTCTCTAATGAAAAAAAAAATGTACATGTTGAGGTGTGTGCTTACCTGTGATATAAGCGGTTGTGGAGGTGTGGGCAGCAATCCACTTCCTGGAGCTGGCATGAGACCTGTTGATGCATTACCTTGGGATGTCAACTGCAACGCTTGGTGTTCATCTGGTATCTTTCCTACGTGTAATAAATCAGACACACAGTACTGTACAATAAAGGTTGATTCACAGGCACAATAGAAATACTTGCAGATAGAAAGCACTTCTTGTTTCATACGTCCAAGTACATGTACTGTAATACACATTTTACATCATGTATATGTATGTAAACTACCACATACATGTACCGGTATTTCCTTCCTTGGTTTCAAACAATAATTGTGTATACATGTAATTGCGACTTCAAAACATGAAGTGAAGGTTTTTAATTCCTTCAAAAGAAAAGGTTTTACTCCTTAAAAAGACATTAAAAATTTAAGTGATAACAATTAACTCAGCTACCAGTGCAATGTTATAATATAACATGGTTGCCTTGCTAATTTGCAGTTAATAAGCAAGTTGTCTGCCAAGCTGCATGCCTACATGTACATGACCATGCTGGGGATTCCTGTAATCCAGTTGACCAATCATTGAACCCACAGCATCTCAATGGTCTTGCATAGTATTGCTGTCCAGCCATATGGTATCAACAGCTGTTTAAAGAACATGCTGAAGACTCAGGACCCTTGAAAATACTGTGACCCTCCCCTTTTCATAAAAAATGGCCACACAACACATACCGTATGTCAAGAATATATGACAGGGAAATGCCTTCATGCCTTTCCCATTGCCTGCAGTGTGCAAACAGGGTCCTGCATACCAAATGCCCTAATCCCTCCTTTCTGGAAATTGACCATCAATCGGGCATTGTGGAAACCGCAAACTCTCACCTTTCTGTTGGCAAAGGGACACCAGTGCCCTCAGAAAACAAAAGACTGACCACTGTTTTGAACAAAGAAAGCCCCGTAACACAGAAGTGTCCCAGTAACCACATTAGGCAAACTGAACAAAGAAAGCCACGACATCGAAAAACAAAAAGGGGCCTGAAACAGGGGATCTGGCAAATTGAACATGCAAAGCAGCGGTGTAACTGAACAATCTGTCCCCGGTTTCCAACGTGAAGCAAGTTTCATTGCCAATGGCATGAAGCACACAAAGTGAAGCATGCATTTTACACCGTTTATGTACTGGTTCCTTCTGCATTCCGAACATTCGACAACTGGAAAATGAGCACAAACTGCTAGATTATTTCAGTGAGTCCAAAGATTTGGATTCATCCTGGCATATAATTATTCTTTTCTTTGTTTCGTGTATTTCTATGTTTCTTGCGAGTATTTCAGTGGTCCAGTGCAGCTTGATTTTCTATTGGACCATCACCAGGCTCATACAGCGACGGCTGTTCCTTGGAAGCACTCTGTTCGCATTACTCCTCACTTCAGGCACCATGTCAAAAAAACTTATTCTGCCAGGTGCAGCATGCCCCACAAGGCTGCACAGCGCTGCACAGCACCAACAGTTAGTACACTCTGGCTGGCCGACCCTAGGCGCTGCCGACGCACCTCCAAGATCCTGCACAACAAAGGAGTATGCATTTGCCTGTTGCTTTCACTGGTGACTGCATTCCTGGCACTGTTTTGTAGCCACTGTTTGCCCGCAGTATCACAAACACTCTGATGCAATAGGCTTTTGCATTTTGTGGGGAAAAAACACCTTTGAATTTGACATTCTGTCCAACAGGTTAAACCAAATCATGAAGATGTCATGAAAGTCCACTGATAAGAAGGCATTTCGGTTCATCGGTTAATATAGGAGGCCCACACTCCAAGTTAAGGAGTATTATTTTGTATAAAAGGAGGCCTAGCACCTGTGTACACTTTTAACCATCCAGTTTCAGGCTCATACTGGTAGGCTTAATACACAAAACCGGGGAGGCCGCATTCAGACAAAAGAGCTGGGCCTTGTAACTAAAGACCGTACTCAGCACAAAAGACTGAGCTGCTGGGAATTGCCAACATCTTTTCACTTGTCAATAGCAGAGGAAATCTGTCATTGTTTCGAAAGATTATACCACTGTTTCTAGCATTTAGCGGATTACCAGTGGATTCGTTTGGGTGTAAACATCCAGTAAATGAAGTTATAATTTTTAATAGAATTTTGAAAACAGACATCTAGAAAATTGCCCGGTTTTACGTCATGCATCTTCAAATTACACAAGGCAGCAAGTAGGTAACAGCCATCCCAGTCTGTTGAACCATAGTCATCACCCCACGCTCAACTGTCAACATATCAATCACAGACACATGAAAAACAAAAAGACCAATCACAATATTAGCTGTGGATATTTTTCACCACTCAGTGCCGGTGCTCCTGGGACCAGAGATCTTGGGTTTGTACGCATAGCCGGGGTGCCTGAAAGGAGCTGGGTCTTGTAACAAAAGACCGTACATGGAACAAAAGACCAAGCTGCTGGGAATCGGCAACATTTTTTAGCACAGAGTGCTGGCACAAGCGGAGATAATCCATCACTGTTTTGAAACAACATACCACGGTTTGTGGCATTCAGCACCCGAGGATTATCAGCAGCACAAAAGTGATCCATCACTCCAGTAACAAGCGACACAGTACGGCTGCATGCTACATGTACATGTAATATGGCCGCATTTGAAAAGACACCACTGCCATCCGGCTATGCACTGGGCCAATACAACAAAATCTTGATAACTCAAAATCAGTCAAGTCGAAACACCGTTTTATCTTGTTGGCCGACTTTTTTACTAAAAGAATATGATTTTTATGTACAAAAATACCTCCGGAACTCTAAATGTTCTCCACACTGCATCCCCTTCTCATTTAAAGTTTTTGTGACGCCCATAAAAACCTAGCCAAATTACTGCAGCCAAATAGTAGGTAAGCACTGAAGCAACACCTTGGTTTGAGTCATTACTGCCAAGCTCGACTGCATGCTGCACGGCACAAGCACTGCATACAACCACCCTACACCAACCACAATTGGAGAAATCCTGCTTTCTGGCTATCCTGGCTGCTACCACAGACCCATTCACAGACAGTCCAATCCCTGACTTTTTCCGATAACCACATGACCACAGAAAATGATATCATCAGAAAATCCAAGTGAAAACAAGTCCGAAATTCTGTGGCATGTCACACCAAACATGATCGATGAAAAGACGTGATTTTCTACATGAAGGTACTAGGTACATGTACAAGTACCATTTAAGCGGTTGATTTTCATTTAGCGGTAGAAAGAAACCTTTAGGTACTGGTAACAACAATTTAACAAATCTCAGTAAAATGATTGGTTGAAAAAAATGTACCATGAAAATGAATAAAAAGTGGGAAAATAATCACTAAAATGTTGCCATCACAGTAAAGCAAGTAAACGTTGTTACGATAACATACACATTTCATGTATGTGTCTTATGACTCTATGACTCAGGGAATTCCATTTAGTAACTCGAAATCCAGACAAATCAAATTTTTATTTATTTCTCTGAGGTTCAACTTATGTACATGTAAATGGAAAGCAATGTAAACATGACTGCACCACCAGCAGCGGTACGCATAGCCCAGCCACAGCTTTTGTGACTGACTTCATCCTTCAAAGTGTGCCATATAAGCCACAGAGACATTTTTCAGCACGAGAATCAAAATATAAGCCGCAGCTTATATTCAGAAAACTATAAAGTGTGCTGACCTGCTAAAACCCTTTACTGCTTAAATTTGATATGCATGTATAGTAAACACTGGCTATTACATCGTACAACTCGACAAATCACTCAATTCGGCAGTCTTACAAAAGTCCTGATCGTCTCTAATGCATTTCCATGAGAATTTTTATGTCAGCTTTTATACAGTAAGTCATCATTTTGCCTAAGTCAGCGTGTTATTTTTGGTCCCATTTCCACAAAAACCACATCAAAATCCTTTGTGTAAGTCGGCATTTAAAATTTTTTTATCAACTTCTGCACTGCCATGAACTTCTCCTGCCAAAAAAAATCTATATAATATGAGGGTATGTGGAGTCAAAATTTATAATTTCTGCTTTCCCACGGCCCAAGCATGAGACAAGTTGCATTGCGAGCACAGTGTGGTAGAAGTACAGGAGACTCAATAAAACATGTCAGCACATGGGTTACTACCACAAGAACGGCATGGAATAGCCAGGAACAAGTGACACCCACGACATCTTGAAGCAATCAGAAACTTTTGAAATACTTTGAAACAGCAAATGAGCTAGTTCCAATCCCTATGTCAAAATTATGAAGCATTGCAAACCATGTTGAATGTTTTCATTGTGTCTTTTCCTTCCTCCATGCTCAGACTAGATATTTTGAGCTTTGCAACCCAATCACATCATACATTTCCTACATTTAACGTACATGTATGCATGGGTCATCATTCCAGGTAAGCCAGCAAAATGATGACTTACAGAAGTCAGCCTTCAAGTCGTCACAAATTTTGGGGTGTCAACTTAGCCAGTGTTTACTGTAATGCTAAATATGATCTATTAGGTAGTTTTATGACCAACTACTGGTATCTTTTCCCACTTTATGATACAAATACCTTGGTCTGGTGCACTGACTGACTGGCAGCACCCTCTCAGTTTGCTCTGAGAAGATGTTGGTTTTTGTGTTGAAATTCCTCTTGTGGGAGTGTTGAGAATTTGTGAAGTGATGTGTTGATGACTGGTGAATCACATGGCTTTAATATTGAATTTTAATGTTGAAATTGTCATAATACCTCAATTTGTTGGTGTTTTGGATGTGTTTGTGTTGATACTTGAGCAACATCAGATTGTGCCATGTTACACTACATTGCACAGCAAATATTCAACATCGGTGCTCTAATGAAATGAGCTGGAGTACTAAGTCGATTACCAATGAATGTGTGGTCTACACTGAAGACCTATGGATTATTCAGCAATCTGATTAAGCGGTGTACCAGGGCTGGAAGTAAGCAGCAGAAATATGCTGCCTTGAATACAACAGCCTGGTGTTTGCATGAGTAACCTGGTAGAAATAAAAACGGATAAACTTAATGTTCCCACCTTGATGAATACAAATGCCAGATCTTTGATTCCCAAACTTGTTGAATTGAGTGGATATGTGTGTTGCATAACAGAATCATGGTGCTCCACCAGTGTACCGCATAGAGTTTGTTGTTGGACTATGACCCCACGCCAATAAGACATAATAGAGATCATACAACAGGTGGAGGGATTCTGTGTTACGTACAATGCCTCCATTTCATTCTGTGATTGGAAATTTAGTTGAGCAGAACATTGAATCTGTCTGGCTTTACCACATCGTGCCGGGTGGCCCGGTATCAGGTACTTTATGTTTGTACGCATAGCTGGGAGCCCGAAATCGGACAAAGGAGCCAGGTCTTGTAACAAAAGACCGCACTCTAAACAAAAGACTGAGCTGCTGGGACTTGAACATTTTTTCAATTGTCAATAGCGGAGGTAATCCGTTCTGTTTTCAAATATTTTTAAACTATTTATGGCACTCAATACAAATTACAACCACGGACGAAAGCTCTCCATTGCTGCACTGCTGAGCAACACAATACCGCTGCACACTAATCTGGCCCTCGTTATGTCCGAAAAACTATTTATGAACAGTAATTATTCCAAAGCTTGAATTTTCTCTGATGCAACAAAGAAATCAAACAAGATCACACTGATACAAGGAACAAATGAACAAGTGTGATTTAATGAGAATGATACAGAAAATATTAACAAAGAAAAACGTTGATGGGAACTACATGTAGTTTACAATGATAAGGAATATCTCATATAAACAAGGTGTTCTTATGGGCGAGAACTTGGCAAGGCACTACCAGTGAAGAATGCTGGACTCCACAGATGGTGGAAAACAGTTCAGTCCTTGACAGTGCAACAATAAGCTGCAACNGGGGACAAATACCACGTCCAATAAGAATGACCGGGCTCCAGACAAACGGCTACGGCGTGATGACCGTGGCAAATACGGGAACTTGATGATCCCACAAACTGGAGTTAGATTCAGTTCACAAACTGTCTCTTCCGGAACAAGATTCAATTCTGCACTTCACTTTTCTGGATGAAATTTTCTTACAAGTGTCGCTCCACAGATTAAAATGGTGCAGAAGTCAACATGTCAGAGAATTGCCTTCCAAATCTCTTTTGTGGTGTGTGTGTTTCTTTCTTTCCCAATTTTATGGTCTACAATTCTTTCAGAGATTTCTCTCATTACTTTAAACGCAAGTTTCTTAAAGAGAATTTATAGCATTACTTAATCTTATGACAAACCTCAAAACGTAACTGGAAATATCGTCAGCTTTCCCACACGTACCACGAGAATGTTCATAACTACTCATTCATTGTGGCCTGGGGTCAAATGCGGGTCACACACAGAATCATGGGCAGTACCATTACATAATCAGATTAGAGTAGCCACCAGACAGTCATTTGTGTGGGTGTAAACGTCCAGTAAATGAAGTAATGAATTTTTGAAGAATTTTGAAAACACAAAATCTTGAAAAACACCTGTCTTTGTTTACGGCCATTTTAATTGAACCCAGCAGCATATGGTTAAGTTATGAGTGACGTAAACCAATAATTCAACCAGTACTTGGCCTGTCTGATCATCAAGTGGTCATTTGTCAACCAAAGCTGTCATTTGCAAATTGTAATGGAACTTACCAAAAAATTAAATGTGTTAGAAGATTTCCTCCTCGTGCAAAAGCAGCATTTAAAGTGATATTAAAAAGGCTTCAAATATTTTGAAATGTAGGGTTTTGGAGGTACTGTACATGTACATGTAGATTTATTGGCAGCTCAGTATCGGGAGACCATGCAAAGAGCACCCTTGGAGTGTTGAGTTGTGGCACCATCTGCTATGACTCTGCAGACCAATGCGAGAGTGGCAGTCCTTGTTGCAATTGAAGCAGATGTGCGATGGGGCCACGGTGTCAGGGGTTACTGCAGCATGCTTTCTCCTTGCCCTCTTCTCTGCTGCTAGCTGGCCTCTGCTCACGTCCGCCTCTCCGACGCCTTTGTGGACTGTCTGACGCCAGGCACCTCTGTTTGCAGCTTGTATCTCCCATCTGTCTTGGGAGATATTGCAGGCCTTCAGATCACGCTTGAAGGTGTCTTTCAATCGGAGTAAGAGGCGGTCGACACATCTGGTGCCAGATGCCAGCTTGCCATATAGGATGTCTTTGGGCAGCCTCCCTTCCGGCATATGCCGGATGTATCCCAGCCAGCATAGGCGGCGTAGGCTCAGCAGAGAGTACATACTGGGGATTTGGGCACGCTGTAGAATGTCACTATGAGGGATGTGGTCCTGCCAGCTGATTCCAAGGATGCGCTTGAGATATCGCATGTGGAAGGTGTTAAGCTGGCACTCCTGTCTGTGCACTCCTGTAGGTAGCCCAGGATTCACCACCATAGAGTAAGGTACTGAGAACACAAGCCTGGTAGGCTTGGATCTTCGTGTGTTCTGTCAGAGCTTTGTTCTCCCACACCCTCTTGGTCAGCCTCGTCATGATGGTGTTTGCCTTTCCAAGTCGTCTATTGAGTTCAACATCCGAGTGATAGGTTATTGCTGACAGTCAAACCCAGATAGATGAAGTTGTCCACGGCTACAAGGGCAACGTTGTCGATACTAATGGAGGGGACAGCACTGAAACCTTGTACACAGATGTTGGTTTTCTTCAGGCTTATACTAAGCCCGAACTGCTTACAAGCATTGGCGAAGCTGTCACCCAACCTCTGGAGGGTATCCTCAGAATGGGTCACAAGGGCTGCACCATCAGCGTAAAGCATCTTTCTGACAAGAAATGACCTCACCTTGGTCTTAGAACACAGGTGTGCCAGGTTAAAGAGCTTCCCGTCAGATCTAGCATGCAAATAGACACCATCTGGGGACGAGTCAAAGGCATGGGACAGGAGCAAGGGGAAGAAGATCCCAGAGAGAGTTGGCGCCAGTACACAGCCCTTGCTTGACACCATTGTTGACAGGGAAGGACTCTGAAGAGGATCCATCATACAGGACTGTTCCTTTCATGTTGGTATGAAAAGAGATCACCATGCTACAGAGCTTGGGAGGGCAGCCAATCTTCTCTTGGAGTTCAAATAGACCCTTCCTGCTGACCAGATTGAAGGCTTTGGTAAGATCAATAAACATCATGTAAAGTGGCTGACCTTGCTCTCTGCTCTTCTCTTGGAGCTGACCAGGGATCTGCCGCTGCCGGTCGGCGCTGGTCGGGCCCGACCGGCACGCAGAATTGCCGACCGCCATAATCTGCCAAAACAACTTTTCCGACCGGCACGAATTCCCGATAAAAATCCAAATAAAAGAGCCTCTTGGTCGAGGAATTGACCGTAAGGATACTATTTGTTGGTCATATTTGAGACAACTTGCAAGCCACAGGTATTGAAATACGTACCCACGAACCTTCGTAGCGTGTGTGAATTATACTAACGTTATTGAATCATATCATAGAGCAAGGAACACGACCAACGTAGCGGTGAAACGTGTAGGATACATGTACGTTGCCGGCCGCGTGCTCCACTGGTACCTTCTAGGCTGCGATCACGTAACTCACTAGAGTGAAAACAATCTCACGATGTCGAGGCGCGGGCGTGTACGTGTGGAGTGAATTAGTCGTTTTCAAGTTCGCCATTTTTTGTCCTAAAATGTGTGAATTTGTTTTCGATGAGACATGTTAGGATTAAAGAAAGACTGCTATCCCCCCCA